CGCGTTCGTTTCTAAGATCATGGGGGACCTCCAGGTTCGTTTGGTGATGACAATCCACAACAAGCGCGCCAAGACCCGTGCGACGTTCTCCTCGACGGCTGACTGCGCGCAGGCCTTCCTCAAGGAGCTCTACAACAAGTTCCCCGACACCAAGTCTGTGAAGCCCCCCTGGGAGTATGATGAGGTGGTCTCGCCCAAACAAGAGAAAGGCTTGGTGGAGTTCGGCGCCACAGGGCTCACGGCCACGGCGGCGCAGTCCATGGGCTTCGTGATTGGCACTTGGGTCCAAAAGAAGGACGACGAGATGAATATCAAGTACCAGGTCAAGGAGCTGACGGACACCGTGGCGAAGCTGACCAGCCAGGCCGACCCCTTCCTGGAGACGGACTCCGAGACCATCGAGGTGGCCTTCGACGCCATGGCCGACGGCTTCAAGGCGCATCCGCTACCATTGTCACCTATCGGTACACATACATAGTGGGGATAGGGTTGGCTCCACCATGTGATACATATGTACACATCTGTGGGCTTGTATGTATCTGTATATATATGTATATATATGTATATGTGGATATTTGGTAGATGGGGTATTGTATGTGTACGCACATATATGTGGTATGTAGGGTGCACAGTGTGGTTTGCTGTACACACACCTACATGTACAATTGTGTATATATGGATGCCAAATATGCTTAGCATGTGTACGCAACTATATAGTGGAAAATGCACAACATATATATATATAGAGAGAGATAGGGTGGCGATGGCATAGAACGAAGTAGTACACCTAGAGAGGAAGGGCGAAACCATAAATGATAGAGATATTGACAACTTACCCCCATACAACACATTGGTTTGAGTAAGTTGCGTTCCCCAAATCGAACAGCAAACCTTCGGGATCAAGAAAAACTTGCCAACCAACGAAACCAGCATCCGGGATGGCCTCCTCCCAACATCCATTCTCCCCCCCGTCCTTTCCACCGCCAGGTGTTCGTCCCCAACGACAAGCTGGTGGCTTCGCTGTCGGAGCACGGCCCGATGGAGCCGACAGCGTTGCCCACAGGGGGGCAGAGGAGGAGGAGGAGGAGGAGGAAGCAGAGGAGGAGGAGGAGGATGAGGAGGATGAGGAGGACTTGAAGAGGTAAGACGGAGTAACAGGAGGGAGGAGGGGCTATCAGGAGGGAGCGGAGAAGCGAAGGAAGAGGAGGGAGGAGGAGGAGGGAGGAAGGATGAGAAGGGTAGGGAGGAGGTAGGAGGGAGGGAGGAGGAGGAGGAGGAGGAGGAGGAGGAGGAGGAGGAGGGAGGAGGAGGAGGGAGGAGACAGAGGAATGATGAAGGGGAGGAAAGGGGCCCGTCCGCGCATAGGAGCACAAGGACATCATGATTGACAAGGCCCGCTCGGCTGTCAAGGCCGCCCTTTATGCTGCCTTCGAGAACTGTCATGATGTGAATCTAGAGGTTCAGTATTCGTTGTCACCGAAAACTGTGTGTGAAGGTTTGTTCGCTACCTCGCGATTTAAGCCTGGTGGCCTTGTGCTGGTGCCTCTCTCCCCCGTGATTGGCGTCGGCGAAAAGGTGCCGACTGGCGCAGTAGAAGTGGACTTGAGGTCTTCCTTCGAAGGGCTCCCCTGCAAAATGTGGATTGTGCCAAAGCTCGACCTCCCAGCTGCGACCAACGGGGGAGCCAAGAGTAAGGACCCGTTTCTGTGCCCTTTCTTTGCCGCGCAGCCAGCCAAGGACTCATCAATTGCAAACGTTGTTTGGAGTAGCTTTCCAGTGGTCGTCCAGTGCAGTCGCGGGCCTGCTGGGCCGAGAAGGTCCAGCACTTCTATCGAGATCCAGATCCCGACCCTCACAAATGTGAAGGCAATTGAGAAAGACTGTGAGATTTTGCGCCCCCCTGAGCTCCCCTCGGGCCCTGTGAAGCGCCGCGCCGAGACGGCGAGTTGCAGCGAGGCTGAAGCGCCCGCCCCGAAAGCCTCTAAGGGCCCCGCGGGCCGTGGTGCTGCGAAGGGCAGGGGTCGCGCCCGCGGGAGGGGGCGCCCGTAGACAGCAGTCCCTTCACCTCCTCAGATAATAAATCCTATCTCTCACGCCCTCAATGATATTCATGTTTGATGTTGGTCGTGGCTGGCCGTGGCGATCTTGCGTATCTCTCTTGGCTGTCATCGCGAAGGCGGTGCAGCCATTGTTTCCAGACCCGTTCGCTTGTCAGATGCGAGTGCGAATCCAACGCAGCGGTGTCCTGTACGGACTCGCGCAAGCAGGGAGGAGGAGGAGGAGGAGGAGGAGGAGGAGGAGGAGGAGGAGGAGGAGGATGGAAGGAGGAGGAAGAGGAGGAGGAGGGGAAGAGGAGGAAGAAGTGGAATACGCGTCCGCTGCAGAGAGAGAAAAACAAACGACAAAACAAGCCATAAAAATCGGTCTTCAACACCACCGTCCTCCCCAAACGGTTTTACGAGAACCCCAAATCGTATACGGGTTACTTGGGCTGTCTAAACCGTCCTCAAGTACCGCATCCTTCCAGTTACTTCTGCTGCTGCTGTCCCTCCCGCCCTCCTTATAGCATCAGTTCTCCCCCAACTTATCATGCCCCTCCTCGGTCTATCGCTATCGCTATCGCTATCGGCTCGATGTCCTGTCGGACGCAGCCGTCCGCGCGGCCGGGGCTACACGCGCGCGCCCGAAGCGCGTAGGGGGGGCCACCCCCCGACACAGACCCCCGCCAGGAGGACAAGGGGAAAGCCGCCAGGGCTTCGCAAGGGGAGGGGCGGGGGCCGAAAAGGGCCGAGAAAAATTTTGGGGGGGGGGGCTCCCGGAGGCCAAGACAGCCCGCTGCACTTAAGGGGCCCTTAAGTGCAGCGGATCTGCTCCTCCTTCGGGGGGGTCTCCGGAGGCCAAGACAGCCCGCTGCACTTAAGGGGCCTTTAAGTGCAGCGGATCTGCTCCTCCTTCGGGGGGGCTCCCGGAGAGGCCGCATGGGGGTGGCAAGATGGAGTACGCATGGTGTAGCAGTGTACACACACGCACGCACACATACACTCACGCACGCACGCACGCACACACACGCACACATGCACTCAGAGTTCCTATGCACGCTAAAGGGATGGAGAGAGAGAGCGAGCGACAATCCTACGCATATCATCACAACGCATTCGCCTGCACAGAACAGTCGCCATCGCCATACCATCCACAACCCAAACGCATTAGCCATCGCCACGCACCATTACCATCGCAGTTCCTTAGCCGTGTTGGCTCAGATCAGTGGTCACTAGCACTCGCGTTGGCGTTGGTTCAATGTCTGTCAAACTCGACCGTGGGTATACCGCGGTCTGCATTGGTGATGCGAACGAGCGCCAGACGCCTTTCAACTCCTGGATGGTGAAGACGGAGACCGTCGACGGAGTCGAAGTTGTCAAGTGCAACAAGCAGGACAAGAAGTTCTGCTCCATGCTCAAGGGTCACTTCGCGATGCATGACTACCTGGTGAAGCTTCGGAACAAGGCTGCGGACCTTCTCATGCACCAGGCCGACGTTGCCAACGACCCCCTGGCCGACGATGGAGATTCAGACGACGGTGGTGCTGCAGAGCATCGGGTTCCCAAGAGGCCGAGAAAGGACTGCATCGACGACATCCCGAACCTGATCACTCTCGACGTCGTCTACGACGGAGGTGCTCGTTGTTCCATTCGTGTGGTGCCCGAGGCGAACCCGCGTCGCAAGCTGCGGATGGAGCTCACCAAGGAGAACATCAACCTGCTCACCAAGCAGCCAGACGACACTTCGCATGACGAATTCATTCCTGACCTTGACGGCATCGAGCACGTCGTGTGGTTGACCAGCCGCAGCTCCGTCCAGACGACCTACTACAGCGAGACCTTCGGCAGGTGGTGCACGAAATCGATGAAGGTGCGCGCTGGGCCAGATATGCAGGAGCGTGTGACCCGCGCCGCCAATTCCCTAGCTTTTTTTCGCTCGGAGCACCACCACGAACCCGACCAGTAGGGACACTGGCTGGGGCTATGGCAGACGATGGGCGTCAAGCCACTACGCGCAGTCGGTGTCGTGCGACGGTACATACTAAACTCGTACCATTTCATCGCACGGTACCGTTCAGTATGCGTCCTGATGTGGGTGCAGGCATCCTACACACAGCTAGTTGATGGTAAGGTCGAGGGGGCGACCTCGTGAAAAAAACATCATCTTAGTCAACACCACCATCACCAATCATGTCCCAAGCAGGTACAAGTTTGACGTCATAGCGCCAACCCATCAGCGAAGCATGAGATGTTCGAACTAGCCAGCGGCTAGTTCGAGCAATTGCTCGAACTAGCCAGCGTCATGTTCGAGCAATTGCTCGAACTAGCCAGCGTCATGTTCGAACTCACCACTCCATCATGATCAGATGGAGTGAACACACGGAGGTTGGTTCGAACTAGCCAGCGTCATGTTCGAGCAATTGCTCGAACATGACGCTGGATAGTTCGAGCAATTGCTCGAACTAGCCGCTGGATAGTTCGAACATCTTGTGCTTCTAATGGTATGTCCCGTCTGACTGTGACGGCCGACTCCATAAGTGAAGATCTGGCTCGCCCTTCAGCATCATCGTCATCCTCCTCGTCCTCGTCATCGGTATCCTCATCATCCTCCTGGTCATCATCCTCCTTCTATCCCTCCTGTTCACTCACCACCCTCCTGAACTCATCACCCTCCTATATGAGCACGAAACACAGCCCACATCCTGCCATAAATCTTCGTTCTCAGGCCGCCCCCGCCCCCAAACCAAATCAGGATAAATCAGGTCGGGCCTCCGCCTTAGCCATTTTGGCCCAAATCCCCGTCTGAACGTCGCCGTGCTTTGTATACACTGTGAGGGCTTGCACTGTACGTCAGGCACGATGGCTGCGCCCCAACGTCCTGCTGATGCGCTTATCAACATGTTGAGGCAGAGAGTCGGTTTCATTAATTCTCAGCTCGCTGCGGGTGTTCAGCTCGCTGGGATGATGGACGGGCAAGCGACTGCAGTGATCTCGGACATCCAAAACACGGTTGGCCTCGACATACCCGCCGCGACCTTAGTGACCCAAGAGGTCACGGGTGGACCGTGGACGCCAACCCAGAAGAGTCGGATCGCTCTTGCCCTCTCGAATCAAGTGGCTCATGGAGCACCGACGGCAGGACGGAATCGAGCAGTGCAGAATGTCCCTGCACTCGAACACTTCTTCACCATCGACGATTGGCAGACGATCGAGAATCCAGACTTCTCTTGGGACCCGAAGTTGAAGATCGTCGGGGAACGGATGTGGAAACTCGGTATCACATGCCCTTCGGAATCATGCCTCAAGCGAAGCATTGCGATAGTGTGTTACAAGGGGGGTAAAGGCCCAGTGCATCCTACCGAGATGGTGGCGATGGCCCAGACCCTGAAGCGGATCATCAAGGGTATCGACAATGCGAGCACGGGCTGGCCGTTCCACCACATTCCGACCTACCCTATGGATCCGACTGCGCTCCCCCCTGGAGTCTACGAGCTCGCCTTCCAGTCGACGGCTGGCCCGATCACCCCGCCTGATTGGAACCATGCCGACTTTGATAATGTGGTCAGGCACGTGCCCATCAGGAAGACCCACAAGGAGCTGAGGCCTGACCAGAACTCTGCGATCGTCCCCTTCGGCAACCCCTCTCCACCGAGGCCCCCCCAATCGCTGCAGAGCATGTTCGTTGACCCGAACCAAGCCATGGCTATGCTGGGTGGAATCATGAGTGCTGCCATGGGCCGTGGGTTCCCAGGAGGCGGCCTGGGGCCTCCAGGAGGCGACCAGGGCCAATCGCAGGCGGGCTTGATTCAGTTCTGCGAGCCCGCGTCGAGGAGGCTGGCCAGCAAACGCTCGTTGTCGGCTACCACGCTGCCGCTCATGGGTCATGGTGGTGCTGACGACATCGCCAAGCTGTCCGACGTGGACTCCGAGGCGGCCTCTGGAGCGGCTCCAAGCGTGGTTGCTGGTGGTATCCTCGCCCCTGCTGGTGTCGCAGCCCCAACCACGGCAGCGACAGCCGCCCCAGCCCTCGCGTCCAAGACGGACCTCGACGAGGCAGAGGCCCTCGAGCAACAGTTCATCGACGCTGCCACTTCGAAGGGCAAGGCCAAGGGCAAGGCCAAGGGCAAGGCCAAGGGCAAGGCCAAGGGCAAGGCCAAGCCCAAGGCCGAGCCCAAGTCCCCTGCCTCGCCCAAGGACTCCACGCCGAAGGCCAAGGTCAAGGTCGATGCCACGCGCACCCCAGGCAGTGGACCCCCCCGCCCCCGACGCCGATCACTCCCCCTCTAGCCCCTAGGAGAAGGATTGGAACGGGGAGGAATGAAGGATGGACGACGGAATCAAGGATGAGGGCCCCCTTTCCCCTTCTTCTCAACCCCCCTACTGCTCCTTCTCTGGGTGTGAGGGGGACGAACGGCGTCGGGGGCAGGGGGTCCACACCCGCAGGCAAGCTCAAGACCTTCGATTACAAGCAGTGGCTCAACCCCAAGGACATCTTGGGGCGCTCGCGCAATGCTTTCACGTGCCGCGCGTACAAGGGCGCCCAGGCAGCTGCGAGGAGTATGGGTTGGAGCGATGAGGAAGCTATCACGGTGGCCCGCATCGCACTGGGCAAGGCGGGCGAGGTATACACAAAGCATGGGCACAAGAAGTGATGAGGGGCACACCCCAGTATGAGAATTCGTTGCTGGCATTTGTGTCCGATGATGGTCTCCAGGTCTCCAGGGAGCTCGAGGCCTTACCTGCATGCACGTTGGTTCAGCTGTGGGTAGACACAGTGCGTCGTACACTCGAGCGTTGCAAATCTAGACCATGGGCGTCGTGCGCTTTGAAGCGCGCCGCGCTCGAGGACAGGCATAGACCTGCGTCTGTCAGTACCTGGCTCACTCCTCGTATAAGCTGGCGGGCGCAAGAGACAACACTGATCCTTGCTAGTGGGCGCAAGGGACAACACTGAACCTTGCTAACTCTGTTGGGCCACAGTAGTGCAGCAGTTACAAGTAGCGTAGGACAAAAAAACGAATCATCGCCATCACCATCCCCATCATCATACCATCATCACAAGCACCACCACCCTCATACCCTCAGTCTCGCGTATTTCCGACTACACACACGCATATTCTTTCACACAGACTCACTTACGCTCAGACCACTCATACACAGACTCGCCCACAGTCAGAACTACTCACAGCTCGCACGGACTCGCTCATAGTCGGACCACTCACACTCACATTTACTCCGCCTCAGACTCGCTTGCGCACATATTCACTCGCACGCAGACCGACTCACACTCAGATTCGCTGATACCCGACTCACTCGGTCAGACTCAGACTCTCACACGCAGACTCACTCACACTCAGACTCAAACATGCTCATACTCAGACGGCCCATGGCCACCGTGACGCAATCCCGAGTGCAAAGGACATGCTATAGATGTTGCTGGCTCCGTTGAACCCGTCGCCGCGGGGAACAACCAGACTGACATTCTAACACTGTCGGCCTCCTCCCCTCCAGGCTCCTCCCCCCCTCCTTCCCGCAGCCGTTTTGGCTGAAGGCTTTGAGCTTCGCCACTCGTTGTGATATGACGTCCATACATATTACTTCCTTACAGATTTCAAGACACACCAATGTCTAAGCGACAGAAACTTGCCGACTGGGGGAAAGATGCTTACGTTTCTGCTTCAGCAATGTCAAAGCTTTTAAACACCGTCGAGGCTGAGGGCTTACCAGACGCCTTCTCTCCGAGCTCCATCGCGAGGGACAGGATTCGCACGGCGTCGCAAATGACAGATTTTGGGCCACTGGTACAAGCTATATCTGTTCCTTGCGGAGAGTCCTCATTGGATCTGTGGGTTCAACACCCATTTGCATTTCTGCAGGTGGCTGCACGGGAATCCATTCCATTCAATCGCTTCCTGAGAGAAGCCTTGGATAAGAGCTCGAACCAGCTATCTATTTGCATATACAACGACGAAATAACTCCTGGTAATCCTATAAAAGAGGCAAATAAAAGAAAGCTGCAAGCCATTTACAACGCACCCACACTGGCGATGTAGGACCATGGGGTTCCCTCCTCATTTCCCGTATCACCCCCTCCCTCTTCGTCAATGGCCTCCTCCTCCTCCTGAGCTCTTGATCCAGAGCACGTCCTCCCCGTCATTCCTTCTTTCCCCCTCTCCCTCCACAGGGTGCTCCTTCGCCAATGTGGGTGCGTTGCCCTCTACTGGAGCGTCAGAGAATTCAACTTCCCAGCCTTGTGTTGCGAAACTTTGTGGTTCACGGCTTGTACCTTGCGCAGCACTCGAGAGAAGGAGTTCCCAGGGAATCTTTCGGAAGTGATGCGGCACGTCTTGAAGTTATTTTTTGGAAGGCCTTCCAAGGCAGACCTTCGAGATGGCATCATGTTGAAACTGGAGGGCGAGTCGGCAGCTCGCCTTGTACGTGGGGGCCTTTCGATTATGTTAGCCGATGAGAGAGCGCACAAGTTTAGCCTTGAGTGCAAAGGATCGGGAGGCCACAAAGTATGCATGCTTTGCAAGAACGTGATCAATACTAGCTCAACTAGGTGTCCTACTGGCGTTGGTGGATATATGGTGCCTATGACAGAGACGGATGTGACAAAGTTTGAGCTGCAGACTGCAAGCTCGATACGAGGTATCCAAGCGCTTCTTCGGCAAAGGTCGTTGGTCTCACCAGGTGCACTGAAGGATCTCCAAAGCAATATTGGTTTCAACTACGTCGAAACTGGCATGCTCCAGGATCCGTTCTTGAATATTGATGTGCCTGCAGTTGTAGCATGGGATTTCATGCACCTTTATCTTTGCGACGGAGTCTTCACAGTTGAATTTAAAGCATTGATGGCGTATTTGGCACCACACAAATTAGGAGGAAAAACGCTTGACGAATACTTGCAGCACTGGCAAAGCCCCCTGGCGTATGGAAGTGCCAAAGAGGTTTGTCGCAAGCACAAAGACAACGGTGTTGGCGGCTGCGCGAGCGAACAGCTCACCGTGGCGCCCATACTTGAAAAGTACCTGCTGGACGTCGTCTCTAAACATCCGAGTGTTTGCAGAATGGTTGTGGAGAGTGGTGTAGCTTTATGTCGCGCGGTCGCATTGGTCTCAATGGCTAACTCGGGCCTGGTTACGGGCACAGAGTTGGGCGACGCCGTGATTGGGCACCTCGAGGCCCATAAAACAGCTTGGGGCGACTCCATCTGGAGACCTAAGCACCACTGGGCACTTCATTTGCCCGCCCAGTTCATCAGGCACCAGTGCCTGATGGGCACCTTCCTACACGAAAGGAAACATAGATTCGTCAAGAGATATGCCGACGCAAGGCACAATACCAAGAACTTCGACAAAGGCCTTATGGAGGAGGTCACATGCCAAGCGCTATATGACATTCGGTCTGAATTTCTGCGGCCAGAGTTGATGCACCCTCGTCAGGCAAGCAAAAAAATGAGAGACGTCATATGGGATATGTTCCCACGCTTTTGGGGACAGGAGGTGGTGACATCCAAGTGTTGCAGCATACGGGCCAGAGCAGTGCAGGTGGGAGACTTAGTATCCTTTGATGATGGGCACGCCATCTGCTTCGGCAAACTAATTTTTTTCGCAAAGTGTTGCGACTCTGTTTTCGCATGCATATCTGTATGGCCAGTGGAGCGTCTATTAGACGACAGGGTTGCCCTATGCAGGCACGAGGTTGCACCAAAGCTCGTGCACATCTCTACGGTAATCGAGTCAATGATTTTTTGGCCGTGCGATGTTGGCAAGGTGTCTCAGGTCCTTCTGTCTCCGAAATTTTTCCACAAGGTAAATGATAGCTTCTGTTTGCAGCGGGGGTGAACCCGCACGCGCCTCCAGCGTCCAAGCCTCCTCCTCCTCATCATCATCGTCATCATCACCGTCACCAAGAGAAACACCACCATCATCATCATCACAATTTCCCAACATCCCCCATCTCCACGAACTGCATGTTTCACACTGTATCGTGCGCGCAATGTGCACGTGAGGCATTGCCAGACTGAAGGTATGCATGTGGGTTTGCTGCTCAGCCCGTGCGATCTCCCAAAAAAGAAAAAAAACGATTCAATGAATGCCCGAGGCCGCCGCCCACGGAACTCTCTACAGCACTCCTCCCTCATTCCTCCTCTGCGCTGCACCGCAGGCCCGAGGCCCTGTGTCCCCAATTTCTGTCGTGAAGGTGGCGGATTCCCCCTTTTCCTACTCCGTCCTCCGTCCTCCCTCCTCCCCCCCAAACTCCTCCTCCTCCCTCCTCCTCCTTCCTTCTTTCTCCTTCCTCCTCCTCCTCCTCCTCCTCTTCTTCTTCCAGCCCCTCCTCCTCCTCCTCTTTTTCGCTTCTCGCGTCCACTTTTTTCTTCGGGGCGATGCCTTCGGCAGCGCAAAACTGAGCACAACAGAGCCTGGCTAACCAGGTTAGCGAACCCACGCTAAGTAGGTTAGCCCTGTAGGGCTAAGTAGGTTAGCCAGGTTAGGGTAACCTACTTGCGAACTGCTTAAGTTCAAGCCGCTATCCTAGGATAACAACCAGGTTAGCTAACCCACCTAAGCCCCCTGTGAAGTGGTTATAACCACACGATCCTGCATAGCAAGCCCCCCGACGATTCAAGTATCATGGCGTGGGCCATGATTTTTCCCCAGATTTCGCGGCGCCTCTTCTTATTCCATGACGTCCCCGGCCCCCCCCCGGGGCTGCGCACATGCCGCCGGCCATGATTTGCGCCCCCGCCTCTCGGACGCCCCCGCCTCTAGTTTTAAGTCGGGCCTGACCCTCTACAGGAGGAGCATTCGGAAATAGTGAACAAATAATGTGGGGACGATTTTTTGGCTATTTTCGACTATGGTTGAGCATGTTTGGGGTGTTTTTTAACTTTTGTGGCCAACATCGCCCTGTAGGAGGACATGCCCGACCTAGAGCCAGTTTCGACTCCGCCTCCGGGCGCCTTCCTCGGAACATCGGGCGCCTCCGGCGCTTGGGAGCGCTGAGAGAATCAGTCACGCGAGCTGCTGATCCGCCAACCGACCCAATTCTATGACCCCCCTTTCGTTCGGACCGAACGCGGTCAAGGCGATGATCCTCAGGACGTGTGTTAGCCCAAGGTGCGCTCATCGAGGAAGAAACTTTTGGCGCTCCGCGGGGATTTCTTAGATCCGCGCTGGGCTCCCCCGCGGCGCCTCCGGCGCCGCCCCTAGCGCGGATCCGAGAAGTCCGCGCGGAGCGCCAAAAGTTCATGTGTATGTTTTTGTTTCTTCTTCTAGTTTACCCCGTTCAACCCAACCAGCCGGTCATCACAGCGCCTTTGTCGTAGCGAAGGGCCCCAGTTGACAAAACACACGTTGGCGCTGGCACGCGTTCTCAGAGGATCATCGGTCAAGAACCGTTGCCCAGCCTATCGCTCCGCCGGGTCCTGCCCGCCTCGCACCGGCGCGAGGGATCGTCAGATCACAGCCACTGCCCGCCTTTTCGGGCGCCAGCGCCCCGAGCATATGATTCAGTCGGGCCTGTCCCTCTACGGGGGGAATATCCAAAAATAGTATCTAAAAATTGTCTGGGGACGACTCTTGGACGATACTCTTACCATTTGGGTGTATTTGTTGACCATATTTCATTTCTCTTCACAAACCCGCCTGCAGGGGGACATGGCCGACCTAAGCCCAGCCTGTCGCTCCGCCGGGTCCTGCCCGCCTCGCACCGGCGCGAGGGATCGTCAGATCACAGCCACTGCCCGCCTTTTCGGGCGTCAGCGCCCCGAGCATATGATTCAGTCGGGCCTGTCCCTCTACGGGGGGAATGTTCAAAAATAGTTTTAAAAATTGTCTGGGGGCGACTCCTGGGCGATACTTTGACCATTTGGGTGTTTTTTTTTTCAAATTTCATTTTTCACAGATCCGCCTGCAGGGGGACATGCCCGACCTAAGCCCAGCCTTATGATGTTCCAACCCACTGTAGCCTTGACCACGAGAAAGAATTCCGAGCCCCCCCAAAAAGCACCGAAATTCAATGGTTTTCACGTGTCGGACCCTGGGAGACACTCGGTCCGACACTGTTTCGACACCGTTTCGACACCTTTCCAGGCGCTCGAAATCATTCCTGGGATGTGGTCCTCCAGTACGACGGGGGCAACATAAACCCAGCCTGTCGCTTCGCCGGGTCTTGCCCGCCTCGCAGCGGTGCGAGGGATCGTCAGATCACGGCCATATGGCCCGCCGCTTCGGGCGTCGGCGCCCCAAGATTATGCAGAGGAGGCTCCCGCCCCGCGGTGTGGAGCGGCACGGCCTGCCGCCTGCATGACGTCGGGCCTGTCCCTCCACAGAAGGAAAGGTCAAAATAGTTTATTATGTTAAAAAGTGGACGGACGATGTTCGTTGCGTATGTTTGCATACTTCTTTTGCCTTCTTGGATGATGATTCATGTTTCGTTGAGAGTCAGCCTGTAGGGGGACTTGCAGGACCTAGCGCCTGCAGGGCACAGTGTGCCGCTGGGGCCGCCGCCGCGGCACGCTTAGCAGCAGCCTCTCGCCACATGCCTCACCCGCTCCTCTCTCCCGTCGGGCCCCCCGACATCCGCCGACCCGTGCCTTCCCGTCCGCGGCCCCAGAGAGCTCCGAGCTCGACCTGTTCCCCAGGGCCAGTGCTTCGCCCGGATCTGTTTTGTTGCCGGTCCTGGGGCCAGACGCGGGCGGGGGCGCTCGTCCGTCTGCACAAAAGAGATGGGCACCGAAAGAATGGGTGAAATGCTCAGCAACGGTTCCTGTTCATTTTGAACAGGACTCGCTGTCCGCGCCGCCGCGGCCTGTGTCCATTCGAGACAGAAGGCCGCCTGCCCAACAGCGGCCGCTGTCGGTTTGGGACAACATTTGTTGTTGGGCATTGTACCCATTTTTTCCGGACCCATTTCGGGCGTCCAAAGTTCAGGGTTGAGGACTGTGCCCAGATGGGCTTCAGATCCTGGAGGATTCCTGGTCTGACGAGGGCGGCGGTACACTCCATGGCCAATCCACGCGTGGAGTTTCACCGTCTTCTGGACCCCAGATTCCTTATCCGAGGGTTCCTTCTCCGATGCCCTCGCCGCAGCTTTGCCTCCGCCGCCCGCGGCGGCTGTGATGAGACATTGCGGGGCCGGCCCGCGTGCACGATTTCTCTCTCTCTCTCCCTCCTCTCTCTCTCTCCTCTCTCTCTCTCTCGCTCTGAATGCCAGTGGCTTTGCGCAAGTGTCGAGAAAGTGCCCTCACCGTGACGGGCCCCAGGGGCCGAACCGGTGGAGAAGAGCCAGCGGAGAAGCCCAGAGGGCCCGAGCTCACGTCGTCGGAGGCCTGAGCCTTCCGATCCACTGTGGGCTCGCGCCCTCGCGCACGGCAGCACGGCCCGGAGCTCGAGCGCGGGCGCGCGCAAGCGAGCGCCGCCGAGGTTCCGCGGGGCCCTGGCCTACCTGTTGCTGCCGCAGGCCGCCGGGGGGGCTTCCGATGATCCTCAGGACGTGTGCTGGCCCAGGCGTGGGTTTGCCTGGTTCGGCTCCGCCCATAGCGCGCAGCCTGAGTACGGGCCCTCGTTGCGCCGTACACGTCGTAATTATGGAGGGGCCTCGGTGGGCAAGCAGAGGTTGGCGCTGACACACGTTCCGGGGATCATCGAGGCTCGTCAGGGACAGAGTTCGGGGGGGATGGGCTCAGCAGGGGGGGAGGCATTGGCCCGCAATCGCCCCTTCGTCTCCAGGCCTCTCAGCTAGGGTGCGAGTAGAATGGGGTCGGAGGACCGCGCCGCATCGCCGATGCATCGACGAGGCGGCTCGATGGAAAGCCCGCGTTTCCCCACCGATGTATCGCCGATGCACCGCCGATGCACCGCCGATGCATCGCCAATGCATCGCCGATGCATCGGATGCATCGGCGATGCATTGGCGAAGCGGCGCGATCCTTCGACCCCATCTAGGGGGCCTCTATCTGGGAGGCCGCTATCATCGCCAGTGGGGGGCCGACAGCCGCAGCGGCGCGATCCTTCGACCCCATCTGCTCGGACCCCACCTGGGAGGCCGCCAGCATCGCCAGCGGGGGGCCGACAGCCCACCCCGTCCGGGAAGGTGCGGACTCGCCAGCGTCGGGCCGAACGAAAGGTGGGGATAGGGAAAAGAGGGGGTTACGAAATCTGCTGCGTGCAGCTGGTACCGGCCCCGCCGCCGGGCCCATTCCTCGATACATGGGCGCCTCCCGGCGCCGGGCGGCGCTGGGAAAATCCGCTGCGTGCGCTGATTCTCTACCCTGCCCTTTGCTATCCCCCCCTTTCGTTCCCCCCCGATGGGGGGGGGTGGAGGTGGATATCATGGCCTGGGCCATGGCTTTTCCCAAGACTTCACGGCGCCTCTTCTTATTCCATGGCGTCCCCGGCCACCCCCCCCTGGGCCGCGCACATGCCGCGGGCCATGATTTGCGCCCGCCCCCTCTTGGACGCCCCCCCCCCTTGTTGGTTGCTGCTGTTGTTCTGAGTTGTCCCTCCCTTTCGTTCCCCCCGGCGGCGGGTGCCCAGCTCGCCGATCCTCTCGGCGCCGCCGCTGCGAGGTCGATGCAAGCCGCCCCCCGGGAGCCGGCCCCTCCCCGGCGCTCGAGCATATGGGGATGGCGGCTACAGAATTCTGGGTTGCCCCATGATTGATTTCCTCTCGTCGTGCCCATGAGAACAATGCGTAGGATAGTCAGTAGGTCCACAGAACATTGTAGGTATGCTCCGTCCAGGCATTTTCTTTGAGTGGAGGGCAACGGGTGAAGTCTGAAATGCCGTTTCGATGGGTTTTCGAAGCTTGAGTCTGCGCGAGGTGAACCACAAGACGGATGGATTTTCGAGGCGCAGCAGCCCATGTGGATTTCACTCTGAGCCCTCCACCCTAAGGAAAGTGCTCAGTCCACAGATTCGACGGGAAATCAAGTGTAGGGTGAATCAGTTCTGTCGTCGATCCCCTGCTCGGAGCGTTCCCCCCCTCCCAGCTCGGGGTGTCCGTGCCGGATCGTCGAGGGCGGAACGGCTTCTCTCGGGCTCCTCGGCTCGCGCAGGAGCTCCCGCGAGTCGTCCAGATCTGCCGAGGTACAGTCGCACCGAGGCATAACACAGAGGTCGGTTCGGGGAGGGTACCCTAGCGTTCTTCGTGTTGATTGCGTGTCTCCGTGCATCCTGGGGAGGGTGCCCTTGGATGTTCTGCTTGTATTGGCCGGCGGAGGGTCTCGTGTTCTTGAGGGATGCTCTTCTGGCCTAGGTCCGACTGCACCTGGGTTAACCTCGCTCTACGTATGTGTATTTGCCACGCCGTGTATGAGCAGCTGGCCTCGATTCGTCGGGCCTCATCCCCCCAGGCCGATCTGTGAAAAGTCGTCAAGCCCTCAGGGGCTGTAGTCTCAGTTCGCGGCGATTGACTTCGAGCTGCGAATCTCGCGTCGTGAAACAATCAAGGCGGCAGTTTTTCTTGTTGCTATCATGTGCGGTTTCTTGGAGCCCTTATTGAGCCCTGGGACTGTCCAAGACGGCTCAGGGCGAAAGGCCAGTCCCCGGGAAGAGGTTCAGACTGTGTGGGGGTCACGAGTAAAATCCTTATGTCCGATGATTGGGTGAGCTGGCAAGGGTCCAGCCCCTGCACAAAGGAGGCCGGTCGTACAATTCGGCTCCACAAGATCGACCAGGGGTGGGGATTCCATCTTCTTCCATCCAGCCCTTTCAACCGCTTGCAGACTAAAAGCAGTTAATTAGACATGTCGGCAGCTTTCCATCTTCTTCGGGATGCTGTGGTCGACTTTATGGGGGAACGCGCCAGTTTGACAAGAGCTGGAGCCCAAGAGGGGCTGGACAACTTTCGCACACCTACTGTCGCTTCTACGGACGCCGTCGGCGTGGAACAACTATTCCCACGCGCACGCGCTTGAAGTTGCTAATCCTGGAGCTGGAAAAGCGAGGGGAGATCGCGGCAAGACAGCAGAAGTCCATACACATCAAAGTTCGGTCCCTCCCGTTGTCGGGGCCACGTCCACTCCTCAATGGTCCACCAGCACGAAGAAGGTAGTTAGACGCTTCGGTCGGCGTATACTTGCCACTGTAACTGGCAGCTCTAGAAACTTGCTGCTGACCTTAGCGGCGAATGCATGCGCAAACAGGTAGACGAAACTCAGCTACCCTTGTCTTCCAACCTCATCGCTCGCACTGCACAGCTGTCGATGATAGCGGCTGCCATCACGAGCACCCCTATTTGGCAAGAGCTGCACCGCCCAAGGAAGGTCAGGGAATCCATAGCACCCCCACCAGAGCCGCTGGCTTCACGAAGCGAGCTCCACACGCATCTGCACACATAAGATGTTACTGGAAGGTGCAACTCCTGACCACATTAGCTCAGTGAGAAGTCATGAGGACGGGTGAGCTGCCACGTGTGCCTGTCGGCACGGCGACGACGGCTGCGCCCAAACTGGACGCCGTGGCGTCCGAGGAGCAGCATGCAAGGCCAGGGTGCACGACCCTGCGGCTGCTCTCTCGCTCGAGGGAGGATAAACCATCCCGACCCCCTCGCGTTTACTGAACAACCCCTTGGAGCAGGAGCAGAAGAAGCAGGAGGAGGAGGAGGAGGAGGAGGAGGAGGAGGAGGAGGATGGGGAGGAGGAGGAGGAGGAGGAGGAGGAGGAGGAGGAGGAGGAGGAGGAGGAGGATGGGGAGGAGGAGGAGGAGGAGGAGGAGGTGCAGGAGGAGGAGGAGGAGAAGGAGGAGGATGAGGATGAGGATGATGAGGATGAGATGATGATGATGATGATGATGATGATGTGATGATGATGATGATGATGATGATGATGATGATGATGATGATGATGATGATGAGATGACGATGATGATGATGATGATGATGATGATGATGATGATGATGATGATGATGATGATGATGATGAGATGATGATGATGATGATGATGATGATGATGATGATGATGATGACGAGATGAGGATGAGGAGGATGAGGATGAGGAGAGGAGGAGGAGGAGGAGGAGGGAGGAGGAGGAGGAGGAGGGAGGGGAGGGGGGAGAAGGAGGAGGAAGAGGAGGAGGAGGAGGAGGAGAGGAGGAGGAGAAGGAGGAGGAGGAGGCGGAGGAGGAGGAGGCGGAGGAGGAGGAGCGGGGGGAGGAGGAGGAGGCGGAGGAGGAGGAGGCGGAGGAGGAGGAGGAGGAGGAGGAGGAGGAGGAGGAGGAAGCCCCCTGGGCGTTTACCGAGGAGCCCCCTGGGCGCTCACAGAACGGCCCTGCGCTGCTCGATGCCTTCCCCTGGTGGGGTGGCCAATGGGCTTCGCTCTCGTCGGGGTTGCGTGCAGTTCTCGTGCTGCCCAGGGGAAGGCCGAGCAAGGAACGACTCCTCCTCCTCCTCCTCCTCCTCCTCCTCCTCCTCCGCCTCCTCCTCATCATCCTCCCCCCCTCCTCCTCCTTCTCCTTCTGGGGCCCTTCTGGCCTGGGGCTCTTCTGGGACTCCAAGATCCGCCTGTAGGGGGACAGGCCCGACCAAACATTATTTCATTCGCGCCCAGCGAGCCTTGCAGAGGCATGCGCCTGCACCCTTCGGCCAGGGCGCGGAGCAAAGTGGGACCGCCCTCCACAGGAGCGACGTGTGCACCCAAGACCCCTGAAATGAGTATACAGTGGGGTCCCATGCTAAAAAGCACCCTGCTCGCCTCCCGGGTGCCCGGGGTTTCTTGGGCTTCGATGGTCTTGCCATGGGCGGCGTGCCGTTCCCATACCCAGAATCGATGGACGTTCTGGTGTCTCGGGGTCGGGTTTCTTGTGGAAGGTGTCTTGTGGTCGGGCCTCCACTTTAGGCTCCCGAGCCTCGAAGGAGAGCAAACGGCACAAACAAAAACGCTTGGAGCTCCGCGCGGACCTCCGAGAAGTTATGCTCAGGTTTGTGGTTCCCCCGAGGCCCGCGCCGCATTGCCGATGCATCGGCGACGCGATTCGATGTGGAGCCCCATCTTCTTCGCGCTCGCGCCGCCGCTGCACAGCCGACGTCGCCGATGCACTGGCGATGAATCGACGATGCGGCGCAGTCCTCCGATCTCAAGCGCTCGGACCCCACCTAGAAGGCTGTCCTAGGCGGGAGGATACGTGTGTTGGCAAGCGCGCTGGCGATGCTTGGCACTCTTTCTCGCCGCTAGCACAAGGACCAGTGGCGTCCAAGACACTGACATCGTCGCGTCGTGAACAAAATCACCGCGGCAGGTTTTCGGCAGTTTTCGGCCTCTGGGGGCCCTTTCCGGGCCCCCGGACCGAACAGCCCACGAAGAAGCGCTGGTCCCCAGGAAGAGGTCCAGACGTCCGGGGGAGCCGCGTTGTACAAAGCACGACGCTGGACGTGGAGTGGTGAGGACCAGGGTTCTGTGCATTTCGTGGTCGGGGCAGTGGCACCTCCCCGGTGTCGGGGCGCCCTCAGCACGCGCCCTGGCCCCCACCGTCGTGCGCGCACGCGCCGCCGGGCCACGATGGGCAAGCCCTCCTCTTCCTGACCCCCCCCTGCTCGACGCACCCAAGAAGAGTCCAAGCTCCAAGCTCGAGGCGCCCGGTCATCATCCGGACTTGACATGGAGAGAATCGGTGGACATGCCCGTAATCGCACTTCTCTGTAACCCAGCGAGGAGTTCACCCGAACGAGACGTTGCGAACGGGTGCAACGAAATGGATGTGGGTTGCCCCGGTATATTCATCTGGCATGTACTCAGAAGGATGTCCCATGATCGATGAGACGCACAAGGGAATATAGATCTGGAAGATGCACGGTACGCAATTTGTTGTTTCTTACTTTCATCTGCAAACATTGATTCATGATGACTGCTTGTGGATCCCACAGAGTAGCAGTTCGCCGCACGTTGCACGATACTTGCCTGAGTCTCGATATTTCCATGAGTCCATTCGTGCCGAGTGTCTCAGACTGGAGACCTGCCACTGTACTCCGCATTTGACAGTAGAGCATTCAACCCTGGTGAAACTACGACTTGCTGGCTGCATGTCGACCAAAAGCACAGAGGCAAATCGACTGCGCTCTGACATGCCACATTTCCAATCTAGATGGTACTGAACGTCCCAGAGCTCTCAGCCGCGCTCTAACGAGGCGGAGACGTATTCTAAGTTCACTTCACCGCAGGGAGTAGGAGGAGCAGATTAGGCTGTGCAGCAGGAGACCGACGTAAGGCGGAGGCGGAGGTGGTTCAGGAAGAGGAGGGGGGGGACGAGGGGGAGGGGGGGAACGGGAGGATGAGGAGGAAGAGGGGGAAAGAGAGAGAGAGAGGAGGAGAAGGAGGAAGGGGAGGTGGGGCAGGAAGAAATTGAACAGGCGAAGGAGGGGAGGAGGATGAGGAGGAGGAAAAGGAGGAGGAGGAAGAGGAGGAGGAGAAGGAGGAGGAAAAGGAGGATGAGGAGGAGGAGGAGGAGCACTGCCCGAGCGTCTCTACCATCTGCTGCGAAAAGGGGCACCTTTTCTCTCGCACCTCCTCCCTGCTCTCCCCCTCTGCCCTCCATCTCTTTTCTCACCCTCTTCCATCATTCCCTCCTCATCCTCCTCCTTCCTCCTTTCCCTCGTTCCTCCCCCCCCGGGCACCATCCTCTTCTCGTCAGCTCCCTCCCCCCCCCTCCTCCTCCCCCTCCTTCTCCCCATCCTTCTCCTCCCCCCCTAGAACCCCTTGAAGCCCAAGATCGCCATATACCCCCTTTTAACGTCCAGCTGCGCTTTTCCGCAAAGCAGAGCCTGGCGCCGGGGCCGCTCAAGCATGTCCAGGCTGCGACATCTCACACTCGGCCACCTGATGTTTTGCTACGGCGCCAGTGGGAAATCACATCGCGACTTCGGCGCACCATCGACACGTGGCGCTGGAGCATTGAACATTGCGGCGAACCCCCACACGGGCGAAACCCAACCCCTGGCGAAACTCACCGCATCACATGTGACATCGACAGCCCCCACTGGTGAAGCTCATACGTCCGCATGAACATATTCGGCGGGGGTGCAGTGACAACGTGCCCCAGGAGAAACAAGCACATGCTCCTCCTCCTCCTCCTTTTCCTCCTCCTCCTCCTCCTCCTCCTCCTCCTCCTCTTCCTCCTCCTCCCCCTTCTCCTCCTCCACCTCCTCCTCCCCCTGCTCCTCAAGCAAAGGGCGCTCCGTCTCCCGCCTGCCCCTCCCCCTCCTCCACTCCTTCTCCTTGGGCACAACTCTTCCCCGTCGCAACCCCGTGACGTGTCGGCAGGGCGGGCCGGGTGGTTCGCCAGAGGCTTCCTCACCACGTCTGATCTTAAGCCGGGCCTGTCCCCCTACAGGGGATTTTCGACGAAAAATAGAAAGTATCCCAAACATCATCCAACAATAATCCAAAAATAGTCTGGGGACTATGTTTTTGAGCATTTTTGACCTTTTAGGAATATGTTTTGCGTTATTTTTTTCAATCTGTCGTCGGAAATCTCGCTGTAGGGGGACACGCCCGACTTAAGTCTGATCCTTAGGCTTGAAGTTTGCAGTCGTTTCATGGACGGAGGCCGAATGGTTTTCAAGATGTTGTCCTCGCCCTATCGCCGCGCACATTCGCTTCAAAAGTTTTCAAGAGCTTCACGACTGGAGGGCGGGTCGTTTTCAGAATTCGGTTCTCGCATCAGCGCCGCGCATTTTGCGTCTCAGAAATTCACAAGAGGTTCACGGATGGAGGAGGGCGGTTCTTTTTAATAATGTGGTTCTCGCTTTAGCGCCGCGCACAGTCGTGCGAAAAGTTTGGAGGAGCTTCGCGGATGGAGGGCGGTCGGTTTTCAAAATGTGGTTACCGCTTTGGCGCCGTGCACATTCGAGCTAAAGCGTTGCATAAGCCCCACGGATGGAGGCCGGCTCCTTTTCAACATGTGGTTCTCGCTTACGCGTCGCGCACATACGTCGTAAGAGTTAACAGCAGGCTTAAGGATTCTTGCGGCTGACGTCCCAAGAAGCTCCGGCACAGTGTAGGACTGTCAGGGCGGGACAGTCCCGTTGATTCTCGGTGTTGAAGTCCCAGGAATGGTGTTCTGGCGCGATTCAGGATCGTCAGGACTCCACAGTAGCGTTAACTTGCGGCGTTAAGGTCCCAGAAAGGGTTTTCGCGCACGGTTCAGGATTTGCAGACGGTTGTTTTTTCAACGGGGCATTTCCCTCAGTGAAAAACAAATTTTGCAGGGGCCCATGACCAGGGAATTTGGAGGGAGGGTTGATTGCAGCTTCGCTGGTTTGTCTTGCATTGCACTAGTCTCCCTCCTCCTCCTTCCCCACCTCTTCCTCAGCATCCTCCTGACCCTCATTCTGCTCCTCCTCTACTTCCTCCTCCTCCTCCCCCTCCTCCTCCCCCTGCTTGCTCGCCAGGCGCGGAACCCAGAGGTGCCGAAGGTGTCCAGGCACCGAGTCTTGGAAGGCGTGGCCCTGCTCGTGACGTCGCTGGCCCCAGCGGAGCGCCGCGAGGCGGGAGGGAGCCCCCGTCGGCGACTGCAAGGGGCGTGGTTACGCCGGGGTGTGGTTTGCGATCGGCGCCATTGTGGCAGGCAGGGGCCACCACGTTGCGCCAAAGGTTTGATGAGCCCTCGTCGGGGCGCGGCATAGATCTCTGTCGAGGTCCTCGCCCGCCCCCCGGGGTGCGGGTTGCAAACCACTCCTCCCGAAAACCAAGCCCTTCGAGGTCGCCGACCGCGCGCGCCCCGTCTGGGACCCCAGCGCCCCGGGGAGAGGCGCCCCCGCAGCCCGACCCGGGCTCTGCGGGTTGGACTCATCTAGCCCCGGCGCTCTATCCCAGTTCCGGCTTTGGCGAGCCCTTCTGCGCGCCGCGGGGGCTGTCCAACAATTGCTCTCGCAGGCGGCTTCCCCCTCCCACCGAGTCACTCGTCCCCGAATCCCGGCCGTGTGAACGGTCAGGCCTGTTGCATCGAAAGAGAAGGGGAACTCGGGAGCACACCTCTGGGGGGCTCTTCGGACGCACCCCTATTGGGGATGGACGCCCCCCAAAGTATACGTAGCACCCCGCAGTCACGGATAAGAGTGAGGGGGCGGCGGGGACGTCTCCAGTCTGTGAGGTTCTGAAGAGGCCCGCCGCAGGTGCTTAATTTTTTGTAATTATACAACGAGCCCGCCGCAGGCGCCGATTTTTCGTTAAAGCAATGTGGGTGTGTCGCGCGGTGGGTCGCGGGTGGGTCGCGGGTGGGGGAGTCGCGGGCCCGGTCGCGGGCCGGGTCGCGGGTGGGTCGCTGGTGGGTCGCAGGTGCGGGTGGTTCGCGGGCAGGTCGCGGGCAGGTCGCGGGCAGGTCGCGGGTGGGTCGCGGGCGGGTCGCGGGGTGGGTCGCGGGTGGGTCGCGGGTGGGTCACGGGGTGGGTCGCGGGGTGGGTCGCGGGTTGGTCGCGGGCGAGTCGCGGGGTGGGTCGCGGGCGGGTCACGGGCCGGTTCGCGGGGGGGACGACGCCAAACAACAACAACAACAACACCAACAACAACAATCGTTTTAAGACTGTTCGCCCTTATTTGCTCGAGTGCCCCATAACGCATATTTCCCAAACCATCCATACCCGCCCTCTTCGTCTTCGATCGAACCCCTATTGGGTGGTATACCTTTCTTCCTTGCAGGCCGGGCCCCGGCAAGCGGCGGGGCTGCCGCGGACCGTCGGCTTGGCCAGCGGTAGCGCTGTTCGGCGGGGCGGCCGCGGACCGTCGACCCGACCCCAAGATGGACGGACAGGGGACCGACCACGACGACGACGACGACGACGACGACGACGACGACGACGACGACGACGACGACGACGACGACGGCGACGACGGCGGCGACGACGACGACGACGACGAGCGAAAGCGAGAGCGAGAGAGAACGACAGCAGGGCCACGGATACGAAGTAGGCCACGAAGGGCGACAGCGGGGACACGAAGGGAATGCGTAGAGGGCAGAGCAGAGGGCGAGGGGAGGGTGTCCGCCAAGGCGAGGAGGAAAGGGCCCAGGGCAAGCTGAACAGATTCCCGTGCGGGGTCCAACCGTCGAAGTATTTGTTTTGGGGGGCGAGGACCATCGAGGAACATCCTGGGTCGTCTTGCGAAACAAGTACTTACACAAGAGCGCAAACTGCACATGAAATGGACGTCCGAGCGTTGGCGAGTGGAGACGGAAGTTTTGGCTGTTGTGTCGAAAACGGGTGGGTCGTCGAAGAAAGCAGCAGTCAAAAGAAGGTGTCGAAAAAAGCGTGGAAGTCGTTATTTTTTCAGAGCGGCAGGAACAACAACAACAACAACACTAAGAAACGGTCGCGCCGCGTGGCCCCGCCCCCGCTTCTCAACGAACGACTGTTTAGACACACCCCGCGCTTCCCAAGTCCCCTCCCCGGCGGGCGAGGGGGGGAGGTGAGAAGGAAAAGGCCTTCTCCGACGGCGGCGGGGCTTCTCAGAAACCCGCCGGCCTTTGAGAAGTGTTCTGTGTCTTCGGAAGGCCAGGGGACTTCCGAGCCTTCTGAGAAGGCCTTCTCCTTCTCACTTCCCCCCCTCGCTCGCCGCCGATCGACTTTAGCCGGGCCTGTCCCTCTACAGGAGGAAGGTTCACAAATTGTCCAAACATCAGATAAGGGGACGACTTCTTTGTAGTATAGTATTTTTTGGACTATGTATATGCTTGATGATTTTGGGGGGGATTTTGAATTTCTGGCCCCAAATCCGCACGACCGAACGACAGACACAGCCCGCGCTTCCCAACTCCACCCTGGCAAGGCCCAGCGCGGCTCCCGGGGTTCCGCAGCGGCGCGGGAGGCTCGCGCGGCGTCGGCCCCTGCAGGGGCCCCCAGGGCGGCCGTCCAAGGCTGCGCGCCGCTGGAGGCCCCGGGGGCCTCGGCCGGTGCCGAGCGATCTCGCGCTGGTAGCGCTCGAGAAGGAACGAGCCACGCGGCTCAGAGGAGGAAGTGGTATATCCATACCTCTACCCCTCGCGCCCGTCTTCCCTCTTGTCGGGCCTTCTGGGAGGCCCTCGTCGCCACCGCCGGATGCGCCTCGAAGTCCTGGTCAGAACGCGCCCCGGGAGAGGTCCGGGGAATGGCGGTATCAGTACCTTTCGGTCTCCCAGCCGGTGTCAGAAGCCAATGCGCAGGTCGTCCCGGCAGGGACTGACCGTAGTCGTCGCCGCCGGTAAGTCGAGTAGGAGATCGACTGCAGAATTGAGATACCCCGAAATTGACATGTTCGTCGGATCTGCCACAAGATACGCAGGATGATGATATATCTACAACGTTTCTACGTCGCTCGTGGATTCGACGATGCAATCAAGTCTGGGGTAAATCAATTCTGCAGTCGATCTCCTGCTCGAGTAGATAGCCGACAGGGTCGTCAAGGATGGTATCAGCACCAAGGAGCACGGAGCCCCGATGCTTGTGGTTTTGGCAGGTCGGGCCATGGGAGATGCGCACACCACGTGGTGGCCACACTTCTCGGACACTGCTCAGAGCATAGTCTGGCCTGCTGCAGGTCATCTAGAGTTCTCCCAACGCACACGCACGCCATGCCAGTCCTTCCGACGGCCTGTTCCAGCACCCCCTTCCCCCCCTTCTTACATGCCCATCCCTTATCCTCCTCCTCCTCCTCCTCCTCCTCCTCCTCTTCCCTCTCCTCCTCCTCCTCCTCCTCCTCCTCCACCTCCTCCTCCTCCTCCTCCTCCTCCCATCCCTCCTCCTACTCCTCCTCCTCCTCCTCCTCCTCCTCCTCCTCCCATCCCTCCTCCTCACTCCTCCTCGCTCCTCCTTCTCCTCCTCCTCGTACCTCCTTCGACCGTCTCCTCTTCCAATCTCTCCCCCCTCCTCCAAATTAACTCCTGCTTCCTCCTTGGGGTCAGGAGGCCGCCCTGGCGCACAGGTGATGGAGCTGTTCGTGAACGAGGTGCCCCTCAGGGTGATGCGACAGGCACGCCTCCGAGCGCTCGTTTTTGATTGCCCTCGCCCTCTCGCCACACGAGGCGTGCCAGAAAGGGCTTCGCCTTCGAGGATCGAAGGAGTTGGCATCTCTTCCTCGGCGGAAGGCGGCGGAACGGCGGCGGAAGCCCGCGGCCACCTCCGCCAGCGGGAGGCCAGCGGAAGATGACGGAAGCAAAGAATGCGCCACCAAGAGATGACACCATTCACGGGGGCGCAGGGTGTCTGGAATCAGCCATGTGGTCCGAGCTTGGGCGGGATTCAGGAAGGGGCCCTGAGGGCCCCCGAAGGGGCCCTTTCGGGCCCCGAAGGGGGCCTTGAGGTTCCGAGAAGGGCACCTTTCTTCACCCCGCATTAATTTTAGCTCGGGCCTGTCCCTCTACAGGAGGAAAATTCAACAGACTGTCCAGAAATAGTCTGGGGACGATTTATTTCTTATCGAGAACGCCGGCGGCGTATCACCGGCCGCTTCTTGGGAGCTTGTCGAAGTGGCGCGCAGACTCGAGAGTCGTGACGCGTCGCGTATGCCAGCCCTCAAACTTTGGCCCATTTCACCACCGTACCTGGAGTGTGAAATAGGATGCCTCTTGGGGGCCTCCTGGGGGCGTCTTGGGACCTAGAGGTCCAAAATGTGCGTTCGGGTTCCCAGGTTGGCCTCTCTCTTGGACCGTCTGGTGGCCCTCTTGGGCCGTCTTGGTGCCCTCTGGGGCCGTCTTTGCTCTCGCTAGGACCGTCATGGAGCGCTCTTGGAGGCCTCTTGGGCCGTCTTGGGGCGATCTTTGGGACCTTTTGAGTCGACAGGAAGCCGAAATGGCGAGAACTCGGAAATCCGTCAACAAAAACATTGGAAAATCAATGATTTTTGCATCTTGGGCGCCTCTCGGGATAGACCTCTTCGGGCATCTTGGAGACGTCTGGGGGCCATCGTGGGGAGCTGGAAGCTGTCTTGGACTGTTTCGGGGTTCTCTTGGACCGTGTCTGGGCGATTTTGTGTCCCTTGGGGCCCTTCAGACGTCCGCAGCCCTTTGGAATCCTTGCTGGGAGGGGGGGGTCTACGAGGGACCGCCGACAGATGTTGGGCCCGCAGGAAGGACTTCTGGGAGGTTTTGACCAGGCCCGGACACATCCTGCCAGACACTTGGGCAGAGTGGTCTCGCACGGCCCACACCGCAGGACGGGAGCGGCCGGATCTTAGGCTGCCGCCTCTGCCGCCGACCCCAGTCTTGGGAGATGATTGGGCCGTCCAGGGTTCATTCAGTGATTTGGGGGGGTAGGGTGGCCGCAAGTCCAGATTTGGGCAACAAGTGGTTTCGGTGAAGTCTGTCGGAGCTGACTTGGCCTGTTTTTATCTCGCGCGGCCGCTCCTGGGATACCAGCATGCCCGTGGTTCGACGGGGAGGGGGAGATCTGAGCTCTCGTGGGGTGTGGGTGCCGGGACGTGGTGGGGACGTGGTGGGGTGTGTGGGTTGGTTTCAGGACAGAATTTGCCGTGTGTGGGGGGATCCCAAGAAGTTGAGCTCTCGTGGGGTAGGGGTGCCGGGACGTGTTGGGGGCGTGGTGGGGTGTGGGGGTTGGTTTCGGGCCAAAACTCGTCGCGTGGGGGTCCCAAGAACTGAGCTCTCGTGGGGTGGGGGTGCCGGGACGTGGTGGGGGCGTGGTGGGGAGTGTGAGTTGGTTTCGGGCCAGAATTTGTCGTGTGGGGGGTCTCGTGGGGTGGGGGGGCCGGGACGTGGTGGGGGCGTGGTGGAGTGTGTGGGTTGGTTTCGGGCCAGAATTTGTCGCGTGGGGGGTGCTAAGGACTGAGATCTTGTGGGGTGGGGGTGCCAGGACGTGGTGGGGGCGTGGTGGGGTGTGTGGGTTGGTTTCGGCTAGAATTTGTCGCGTGGGTGGTCCTAAGAATTGAGCTCTCGTGGGGTGGAGGTGCCAGGACGTGGTGGGGCATGGGGTGTGTGGATTGGCTTCGGGCAAGAATTTGTCGCGTTGGGGGTCCCAAGATTTGAGCTCTCGGTATTTTTGGGGGTGTGGGGACGTGGTGGGGGCGTGGTGGTGTGTGTGGGTTGGTTTGGGGCCAGAATTTGTTGTGTGGGGGATCCCAAGAATTCAGCTTTCGTGGTGTTGGGGTGCCGGGACGTGGTGGAGGCGGAAGTGGTCCGGACCTCCGGGGCCCATGCACGCATCGAGCAAAAATTGGAGCGGCCGGATGTCTGGGAGACCGTTGCCGCGCAAATTGCCCGCGTGTCAACGTGCGTGAGCGCCCTTCCCCAGACATCCGGCCGCTCCAATTCTTTCGATGCGTGTGCCCCAGAGGTCCGGACCACTTAGTGGTGATCACTTCCCTTGAGCTGGGTTTTCGTCCCGAGTCGTTGCTTGACGCTCCCGAGGCCCTGCGAGGGCCCCCGGAGGCCGAAAACTAGCAGAATCCCGCCGCTCTGATTTTTGTTGGAGCGTCGGATCTCTGGGGGGAGGATCGCGTGGGTAGAAGAAGAAAAAACACCATAGACATAAACTGATCGCGCTCCACGCGGATTGCTTGGATCTGCGCTAGGCCCCCCTGCCTGGCGCGCGGAGCGCGCCAGGGGCGGCGCCGCAGGCGCCGCAGGGGGGCCCAGCGCGGATCCAAGAAATCCGCGCGGAGCGCCAAAAGTTTCTGGGGTGGGGGAATTTCCCGCACCCCCACGCGATATCCCCTCCTCCTCCTCCCCCCTCTCCTCCTCCTCCTCCTCCTCCTCCTCCTCCTCCTCCTCCTCTCCTCCTCCTCCTCCGCCTCCGCCTCCTCCTCCTCCTCCTCCTCCTCCTCCTCCTCCTCCTCGATCCTCCTGGATCCTCCTGGATCCTCCTCCCGCGCGGAGAATCAAAAGTCTATGTTCATTGCGCTTGTTCTTCCGGGGAGGATCGAGGAGGATCGAGGAGGAGGAGGAGGAGGAGGAGGAGGAGGAGGAAAAGGAGGAGGAGGAGGAGGAGGAAAAGGAGGAGGAGGAGGAGGAGGAGGAGGAGGAGGAGGAGGAGGAGGAGGAGGAGGAGGAGAGGGGGGGGGAGGAGGAGGGTAGATCGCGTGGGGGTGCGGGAAAACTGTTGGCGCTCTGCGCGCATTTCTTGGATCCGCGCTGGGCCCCCCTGCGGCGCCTCCCGCGCCGCCTCTGGCGCGCTCCGCGCGCCAGGGAGGGGGGTCTAGCGCAGACCCTAGCAATCCGTTCTACCCACGCGATACACCCCCAGAGATCCGACGCTCCAAAAAATATCAGAGCGACTGGATTTTGCTAGTTTTCGGCCTCCGGGGGACCTCGCCGGGCCTCGGGAGTGTCAAGCAACGACTCGGGACGAAAACCCAGCTCAAGGGAAGTGGTCCACACGCATCGAGCAAAATTAGAACGGCCGGATGTCTGAGTTCCCCCACGCCCACGTGAGTCCCCACCCATCCGATGCTGAGTTTCGATTCCGAGAGTCTTGTTCCGATCTGGTCCACGGCGCACTTTTCTGGCTCCTTCTGGTCTGGTCCCGTGTTTCGCCGACCCGGTTCTGAGTGTCCGATCCGATTCAGGGCGGACTTGGGAATGGGCTGTCCCTGTCGGGGCGCAGGGGCGGCCGGGTCGCTTGACGGAGCGGGTTCGGCGGAGCGGTGTTTGGGGGTGGCCAGAACGGGCGTCGGGTGGGGCAGGGCGGGATGCTTGCCCAGACCCCCGTCGCCGCGATTTGTCCACAACGCCGACCTCCATGAGGTCTCGACCCGTTTCCCGGGACCGTGTTTTTTTATCCCGAGTCGTTGTGTTGACGGTAGACGGTCCCGGGGCCCGGCGAGGGCCCTTGGGCAGTGATCGAAAATATCGAAAACTGCCAGTCGTGGTTTCATCACGAACCAGAGGGGGGTCTGGGCAGTGACTTCTCCAGGGTGATCCGCCCATCGCCCCTAACTCCCCCCCCGCCTCCCTTTCAGCGGCTGCTGCCCGTGCCGTCTCCTTCGGGCGGGGCCAGGACGAGGAGAACTCCGTTCCAGAGCGTGCCGGAACGCTCTCAGGGCGCTCCGGAACGCTCCGAGAGAGGCCGTGGCCCCAGAGACATCGTCCAGATCCCCCAGATCTCAGAGATCCCAGATTCCCGGAGCGGAGGGCGCATGGTGGGCGATATAAATTCAGGGGCGAAAGAAGGACGTACACGTACATGGATCCACGATGGTTTCGAGAGTTCGCATGGCGCGAATGTTCGTATCACGCGGCAGGTCTCGCTGGTCAAGGGGCCGTGTTCATGTACATAGCTGGGCGCGTACGTCCTTTGTGGGCTCCCTATAAATGGAGGGGCAGCGAGGTATAGAAAAAAAGGGGCCCTGCAGGGCCTCTGAAGGGGCCCTTTCGGATCCAGAAGGGGGCCTTGAGGGTCAAGTCGGGCGTGTCCCTCTACAGGAAGAGTATTCAGAAATAGTCAAAAAATAGTCTGGGGGCGGTTTCGCTTTACAAGTTTTGAATATTTGTTTGTATATTGTTTGAATCTTTCTTATTTTTCGTCCACAATCCGCCTGTAGGGAGACACGCCCGACCTAATTTTGGAGCCCGAAGGTCACCTTCCCCCCCTTTATCCACCCCCCCTTTATCGCCCCCCATGGATCTAGGCCTCATGGATGGAGTCCGAGTAGAGGGGGTCGGGGGATCGCGCCGCATCGCCGATGCATCGGCGATGCGGCTCGATGTGGAGCCCGTGGTTCCCCACGCCGACGTCGCCGATGCATCGCCGACGTCGCCGATGCATCGCCGATGCATCGGCGATGCATTGGCGAAGCGGCGCGATCCTTCGACCACATCTACTCGGACCGCATCTGGCAGGCATAAAATTAGTTCCCGCCTGAGATTGTATCCTCGTTCGATTTTGTCCTCGCCCTGGTTTCGTCTTACCCTCCCAGACATGCGACGTCCTGATTCTTTCAGGGCGGCGTCCCTGGAAGTCCCGACCCCTTCCCCAGGACCGGTTTTCCCCCCTGGGTCGCTTTTTGACGGTCCCGAGGCCCTGCGAGTCAAGCAGTGGCGAAGAGTCGTGGCTCGCCTATAGACCTACCAAACAATTTTCTAAGAACCTTTTGTGGTTCCCACGAAATGTTCTTATAACATTTCTGGCGGAATCCGTTTTGTTTTGACACATCGGGGACATGTTCTAAGAGCATTGTTTTTGTTCTGAGAACATTTTGGGGTTCTAAGAACATGTCGTGGTATGGCTATAGGAATGCCGGGACGGTCGGTCCCTGCTCAAGCGAGGGCCCCCCGGGGCCGAAAAGGGCCGAAAGCCTCCCGTCCGGATTTTTTGTTTTACGACGCGAGCACGTCTGGGCCTCTCCCTCTCGCCGTGCGCGCGGCGCGGTGCAGGCCGTGGTGCCAGCCGTGCTGCTCTTCCTGAACGAGCGGGCCGCCCAGTTGAGCAGCGCCGCCGGGGCCGTGGTGCCCGCCCGCCACCTCCTGCTCCTCCTCCTCCTCCTCCTCCTCCTCCTCCTCCTGCTCCTCCTCCTGCTCCTCCTCCTGCTCCTCCTCCTGCTCCTCATCACCCTCCTCCTCCTCCTCCTCCTCCTCCTCCTCCTCCTCCTCCTGCTCCTCCTCCTGCTCCTCCTCCTGCTCCTCCTCACCCCTCCTCCTCCTCCTCCTCCTCCTCCCCTCCTCCTCCTCCTCCTGCTCCTGCTCCTCCTCCTCCTCCTCCTCCTCCTCCTCCTCCTGCTTCTGCTCCTCCTCCTCCTCCTCCTCCTCCTGCTCCTCCTGCTCCTGCTCCGCGCCGCTGGAGGAGGGACGGTGGGGACGAGTGGCAACGGTATCTGGGCCTCCTAGACGGGGTCGTCGAGCATGAATTCCAGACCCCCTCGCTGTGTGACAAAAATCACGACGGGAGGATTTTTGCTGTTTTCGGCCTCCGGGGGCCCTTACCGGGCCTCGGGGCCATCCATAAACGATTCAGGATGAAAAAACCCGTCCCGGGAATGGATCCAGACCGCTGGGTGTCGCGTCATGAAAGAATCATGGCGTCGGGGGTCTGGGGTCGAGCATAAATCTAGGCCTCCTAGATGTGATCGGAGTAGGTGGGGTCGGAGGATCGCGCCGCATCGTCGATGCATCGACGATACGGCTCGATGTGGAGCCCGATTTTCCCCACGCCGACGTCGCGGATGCGTCGCCGACGTCGCCGATGCATCGGCGATGCATTGGCGAAGCGGCGCGGTCCTTCGACCCCATCTACTCGGACCCCATCTAGGATCTAGGAGGCCTCTAGATGAGGGGCAACGATATGGGGTCAGCCACGCGCAGATGGGGGTATGGGGGGGAGGGGGGAAGTCTTTTTAGAAGGAGCCTCAGTCTGAATGATCGTTGTCTTATTCATAGTTTTGCCGATCGGCGTGGGCCCTCGCCCCCCCTCCCGCCCTTCCCCCGACGCAATTTTGCAAACAGTCGCGCTAAGCAGAGGTCCGGAGCCGCCAGACCCCACCCCTCCCCCTGCTTTCCGCACAATGTTGAAACGCCGAATAAGAAAACGTTCAGCTTTCCCCTCTCCCCCTCCCTTCCTGTGCGCGCCGCCAGAAGGGGGTGGGATAGGCATTGGGGGGTATGCATCGACCCCCCATCGCCGATTTGGGCCCGATAGCCTCAACCTGCCCAGGAACATGGTGATTTGCTATCAGGGGCATATCGCCGATCTTGTTTCGCCGATTACAGGTCGACGTCCCCCCACCCTATGCCAGTCCCCCCTATCGTTGTCCCTCATGAGGGGGCAGGGGGGTTGCATACGGTCGGGAGCTTTTGGATAGCGTGTCGCTGCGCCACGCTATCCACGTCGCGGTCCCCAGGCGTCCACGTGCCCGACTTCTCTGCGATTCCCGTACCGTGGAGCGGAGCGACACGCTATCCGCTCGCAGAGCATGGTGTGCCGCCACGGCCGCCGTGGCGACACGAGAGTTCCCGACCAGATTCGGGCCAAGAGGAGGAGGACAGATGGAGAATCACGACGAGGAAGATGAGGTCCGTACGTGCTCCCCTTCCTCCTCCCGCCTCGGTCCTCCTCCTCCCGCTTGTCTCGCCCGACGTCAGGAACGTTTGCTTGGCGTGTCGCGCCACATGCTCTGGCCCACCACGCCTTGGCGCGACACGATAACCACGCTCCAGTCCACGAGCATCCACGGTCCGAGCCGAGTCTCCAGCCCCCCTCCCCACGGTTCGGCTCGCAGGCCTGGGCGTGTCGCAGGGGCCTCGGCCGCGACGCGCGGAGCAGCAGATCCCGACCGTGCTCCTGCTCCCCTCTCCTCCTGCTCCTCCCTCTCCGGCGACGGCGGCGAGAAAACGACCGCGCGAGAACGAGCAGTGCAGGTGCCAGACGATCCGGCGATGTGGCGCGGCCTCCTGCTGCTCCAGGGCCTGTTCTTGGCCAACGAGCGCATGAGGCGGGGGGGTTTTGGCGGCGCCGACGGTGGCGTCTTTGGCGGCGATGGGCGGCGCCGGGCGAGGAGCGCGGGGGCTCTCACGGCGTCGAGGATGGCATGGGGAGGGGGGGGTGCGGCTTGGCATTGGGACCGGAAGGGTGGGCAGGAGGAGGAAGAGGAGCAAGACGGAGCGGGAGGAGGACGTGCGACGTGGAGGCGCATCCTCCTCTGAGGCCGCATCCTCCCTCCCTTGTCGCCATCTCTTTTTGTTCCCTCTTCCCAGGCAACGGGCGGATGAGGAACAACCTCCTTGGGGACCGAAGTTTATTGGTCCTTCCAGGCTGCGTCCTCTTCCTCGACCACCCTCTTTTTCCGTGCGGCATCTGTGCGTGCGTGTGTGTGTGTGTGTGCGCGTGTGTGTGTGCGTGTGTGTGTGTGTGTGTGTGTGTCTCCGCCTCGTCGCTTCGCGCGAGGCCGCTATTATTCAACATGTGTGTGTGTGTGTGTCTCGTCGCTGCGCGCGGGGCCGCTACCGCCAAAAAGTGCGTGTGTGTGAATATGTATGTGGTGTTTGGTGTAGGGTGTGTGGTGTGTATGGTGTGTGTGTGGTGTGTGGTGTGTGTGGTGTGTGTGCGGTGCGTGTGTGGTTCCTGTGGTGTGTGTGTGCTGTGTGGTGTTTGTGTGTGTGTGGTGTGTGTGCTTGGTGTGTGTGAGTGTATGTGTGATATGTGTGTGTGGTGTGTGTGTGGTGTGTGTTGTGTGTGGTGGGTGTGGTGTGTGTGGTGTGTGTGTGTGTGGTGTGTATGGTGTGCGTGGTGTGTGTGTGGGTGGTGTGTGAGGTGTGTGCGGTGTGTGGTGTGTTGCTTTTGTTTTATATGGTGTGTGGTGGTATGTGTTTTGTGTTGTGTGTGCGGTGTGTGTGGTGTGTCTGGTATGCGTGTGTATGTGAATGTGTACGTGTGTGTGAGTGTGTGTGTGTGCGTGTGTGTGTGTGTGTGTGTGTGTGTGCGCACCTGCGTGCGAGTCTTCGTGGTTGCGTGCGCGTGCGTGCGTGCGTGCGTGCGTGTGTCTGTGGTGTTTTGTTTTGTGGTGTGTGTGATTGTGTGTGGTGGTGGTGTTGTATTGTGTATGCTTTGTGGTATTTTGTGGTGTGCTGTGCGTGCGTGCGTGCGTGTGTGTGTGTGCTTGGTGTTGTGTGTGGTCACTGTAATAATGCGTTGTGCTGTGCTGTGTTGTTATGTACTGTGTTGTGTTGTGTGTGTGCTGTGTGTTGTGTGTTATTATGGGTTGTGTTGTGGTGGATGTGTTTGTGGATTTGTGAGTGTCTGTGCGTATGTGTTCGTGTGTATAGGTGTGTTGTGGTGTGGTTGTGAGAGTGTGTGTGTGTGTGCTTCTGTGTTTTTGCGTGTGTGTGTGGTTGTGCGTGGTTGCGATTGTTTGTGTGTGTGTTTGTGTGTGGTTGTGCGTGTTTGTGTGTGTTTATGATTGTATGCGTTTGTGCGAGTATTTGCGTGTGTGTTTGCGTGTGGTTGTGTGTATGTGTGTGTGTGTTGTGTGTTTGTGTGCGCGCTTGCGTTACCAAACCAACGCTTCTCCCCTACGAAGCCTCACCGCCTCCTTGCCTATACTCCCACCCCACCCCCTTCACCCCACCCACCCTTACCCTATACCCCTCTTGCGGCCTCCCCGCACCAGCCCTTCTTGCATTATCCTGCCCGCAGAGTTGATTCGTAGAGGCTGGCGACCATCTTCGAGTTCAGCAAGCGGCTTGAATGCGCTGTGTAGAGCGAGGGCCCTGCCCATGGCGGATCCACTGAGCAATCACAAAAACGACAAAGAAAACGAATCCAACCTCCTCGCCCCCGTGCGTTCACTCGCCCCGGCTGCGCGCCCGCCCCCGTCCTGCTTCGCATGCACACCACTGTCGTGACCTTCCCCCGTGCCATTCCGTTGATCAGTGCGCCTCGCAGGCACGCCGTGCCGCGGCCGCCGCCTCTGCCACGGCCGCCGGCCGTTCCCCCCCCCCCCTTCTGGTCGCTCCTTCCAGGCAGCAGCAGACGGAGCTCAAGATGCAGGACGCCTCCAGCATCGGCCTGGAGACCCTGTTTATGCGCCCGTGGGAATTCCAGGTGGGCGGAGCGGCCTGAGGAGGACGGGAGGGGGGAGAGCAGTGGGAGGAGGAGGAATGAGGAGTGAGGAGTGAGAAGTGAGGGATGATGATGACGTTGATGATGATGAATGGTGAAAGTGATGGTGATGTTGATGGTGAAGGTGAAGATGATGGTGATGGTGATGGTGATTATGATTACGATGATGAGGGTGATGACGGTGGTGACGTGTTACTGGTGATGGCAACCATGCTAATGGGGAGGAGGAAGCTATGATCATGAGCATGATGATCAGTATGATGATGCTGGTGGTAGTGATGTTGATGATGATGTTGGTGCTGATGATGATGAGGGGAAGGCTGTTGATGTCGATGATGCTGTTGATGACGGTGATTGTGATGGATTTGGTGATGGTGGTGAGGAGGATGGGGATGACGATGAAGATGATGATTGTGATGATGACGTTGATGATGATGATGATGACGATGGCGATGCCGATGCTGCTGATGATGATGATGCTGATTCCGTTGGTGATGATGATGATGATGATGATGATGATGATGATGATGATGATGATGATGATTAGGACGATGATGAGGTGTGGTGGTGGTTAGCGTGGTGATGGTGGTGACGGTGATAGTGATAATGATGATGATGACGTTGATGATGACATGGATGATGCTGATGATGATGATACTGATGCTGCTGATGATGATGATGATGATGGTAGTGCTTATGCTGCCTTAATGATGTCGGTGGTGGTGGTTGTTGGGAGCAGGAGCAGGAGGAGGAGGTGGGGGATCGAACTACGGAGCAACCTTTGAAGATGGGAGGGCCCGTTTTCTCCCTCCATCATTCTCCTTGTTGCTGGTCTGCAGCTCGCTCGGTGCGCGCGCTGCGTCCCCCTGTCAAACACCCGCAAAGTACAGCACGTTAAACAGATTGCGTAGAAGACCTTGCGTAGAAAGCACTGCATAGAAATCATTGCGGTTGAGCCTTATCAGAACCTCCCATCACACTCGACCACCAGGGCACGCCTCCAAGAGCGATGATGTAACGAGGCCTGACCCAAGCAAAGCAACTGACCCGCGACTAAGTATCAGAAGTGCGCGCAGACAGTTTTCTTGGCATGCGCCTTTAAATTGGCATTGTTGGTGGCGCGGTCTTGTCTGCAGCCAGTGTATGGCTCGTTGCGTTGCCCCGCTGTTTGCCCGAGGGCTCCCATCTTCAAGAAAAGTGGCGTCTGCAAAAGGAACACCATCTGCACAAAGGGATCTGGAATGCGCGTCGAAGTAACCCTACGGTACCTGCGGGGCACGTCATGGTCTTTTGGCAGACGCCTTTAGTTATAGCGCTGAGAGCTATCCAGCAAACAGCGGTGCGACCGCTAGCAAAATATAACGTTGCGAAAAAACAGCACACAATGTAAGCACACATAGCGTAAACAAACAGATCCACAAGGTGCCGCATGACATTGTAAAGCCAGGCCGACTGAATCAACATTCACACACACACACACACTCACGCACACCGTAAAACAACACAGTGTGAACGCACACGCAATGTAAGCAATACCGCGCAGAACGCAAAGCGTAAGGAACACTGCGTAGAACACACAGCGTAGAATAAACTGCACAGTTTGATTCAACCCACCGTTGAAATCACTTGTCGGTCCCCTCCGGGAGTCCATCTTGGACAGTTTTTCGACGCGCAACCGGCCGTGGCGACGAGTATCCCCCGGCAGAGAGGAGGGCCGAAAGGGACGTAAACACGCCAGAGCTGGCCGCCGTTGCATCGAATGGCACCCCGACTGTCCAGAAGAGCGCTGACCTGCCTCCCTCCCTTCCTCCCTCCCTCCCTCCCTCCTCGCTCCCTCCCTCCCTCCCTCCTCCCTACCTCCTCCCTCTCCTCCCTCTCCTCCTCCCCCTCCTCCTCCTTCTCCTCCTCTTCCTCCTCCTACCTCCGTAGCCAGTTTGGCTCAAGCCGTTTTTGCTCAAACCATTTTGGCTCAAGCCATATTGGCTCATGCGATTTTGGCTCAAGCCATTCTGGCTCAAGGTGTCGAGGTGGACCCCCCAAGCTCGTGACCACAGGTGCTCGCCCGAGCAGGTCACGCGCAGTTCTCTTTACTGCTCCCTGTACTCACACATTTTGTCTCTGTGTGCTGCCGCCGTTCCTTTCGCTTCAGTGGTTGCCGCGATGGGCCGCTCTGCTCGCAAGACCCGTGCTGAGAAGTCTCGTGCCGACACGGAGTACAGCCTCAGCCCGTCACGGAGGAAGCCGCCAACGCCCCAGCGTAGGCGCGAGGTCGATCGTGATCGTGACCGCCGAGCCCACAGTGTCCGGAGCAGTTCGTCAGATGAGAGGTGCGACAGTCGCAGCCGCAGTGGCGGCAGTGCCGCGAGCGCCCGTGGTGGGAGTCAAGGCCTGCCGTCTTGGATGAAGATATGATGGCAGAGGCTCGTGGCATGAATGCAGGCATCGCGAAGATGGAGCAGTCCATGGTGCAGGAGGTTAACGATTCCGATCCGCATTGCAGACTCACGACTCCAACCTGCGTGGCGTCTACACTCGGTTGCCCGAGGTCGAGCGCGGGTGCCAGAAGACTGTTACTGAAGCCGTTGTCGCCGCCATAGATGTCCAGCTCGAGAGCATCAAGAAGGAGCTGAATGAGTTGAAAGAGCCTCCGTCGAGTGGTGCCAGTTCTGCGTCGACACGCACAGGGTCGAGCACTGTACCGCAGCCGCATGGAGGAGGCCAGGTGCCGACCAACCCGCTCGTGCGGTTCGTGGGCACCTTCCCGCGCCCTGTGCACCAGACGGTGCGCGAGGCGCACTACCAGCAGCTCTTGAACGCCAACCAGATTCTGTTGCAAGACGTAGAGCCGATCTTTCACAAGGTCGCTCAGAACTACAATCTGGTGTTTAGGTCTCTGGCTGCTGCCCGTCAGTTTTCAGAGAATGTGAATGTTGCTTCGCTCCAATGGAACGATCCGAGAGATGGTCGCGTTCACCAGCTACGCATCCGTCATGACCAGTCGAACGACGCTCGCGACCGCCCGCGCCAGATCAGTCGTATCTACCAGCCGATCTTGGACCGCCTGAAGACGCACCCTGAGTGGACATGCGAGCGCAAGCTAGGAGTGAACGCATTCAAAGGTGAAGTCATGATCGTCACGCCTCGCGACATCTACATCATCGTGAAGTTCGTGGGGCGATCGGCCCACGTCGAGGAATTCGTCGCCGTCCAGGAGGAGCTCAACTTGTAGAACTTCAACGCCGACGAGATCCAGCGCAGTTCAACGCCGCCTACACCGCTGCCCAGCCGGAGCGCCAGGACGTTCCCCCAGGGCAATTCGGGTGCACACTGCAGCTGCTGACGCAGTCGCTGAGCTGGAGGGGGACCAGCCTCGTCTTTTGAGCCGATCACAGAGGGGGGATCCAGTGCACCCTGCAGGTGGTACCCGCGGTCCGCGTGAGGAGGCTTGCGAGGGCAATAATCTCGCGCCTGCTGCTTTGCTGCCGCCGTCCCTTGCATATCGTATTGTGATTTCTGATCGCTGCGCGTCAGATCCCTCTTCTGCCCCGCCCCCCCTCTTCCAATCGCGAGTTTCCGTCTCTCCCCAACTGCCAGATTGGCATCTGCTCGTGGAATATCCAGGCGACTCTCGGTTCTATTCAACCGAATCAGTCCAGCTCCCGACGCAGGACCGACCATTCTCGTTCTCTGCTTCGTCGCCCCCAGGTCCACGGGATTCAGGGGTCGCACGGAGGGGGGGAGACATGCCGCATATTCAACGTGAGATTCGATCGCGCCGCGGTATCGAAACGTTATGTGACTCGCCGTCAGCTGGCGGCAGCTCGCTTCTTGTCTCTAACAAGTTGCTTGCAGAATGGGAGGCTGCGATTTTTAAGCCCGCCATCCCTGGCCGCATTAGCGCGTTGCACTTGACTGGCTCGCGGGGCTCGCCGTCGCTCATGGGTGCGCGCGTGGACCCAGAGCGGCCGCGAGCTGCGCGGCATCTTCGCGAAGATGGAACGCACGTTGGGGGGCCCACAGAAAGGCCGCGCGATCATGCTCGGGGACTTTAACTTCTTGGACATCGGGGAGTCTCGGGTGAATGCGCCGTCTGGCCTAGCTGGGCCTACCACCAACCGCCTCGCCTCCCTCTTCTCCTCCCCCTTCCCCTTCCTGGGCAAATTCCTTCGGGGCGGTGATGTGAGCCGGTTGTTTCGGGGCTCTGAGTGGTCCGAGCTCGGCGCGCCACTGGTCGCCGTATCACTTCGATGCAGGTCGCAAGCCCCGGTGGCCAGCACTCCGACGACGGTAATGAATGTGCCGGACTACTTGCCGAACGTTGGGGGGGGGGGGCGTTGAAGCATGCAAATGCTCCTCTTCCTAGCAGTAAAGCTGTGCGTCAGGATGTCGACCCCGCCCCCGCCAACCCCGTGGAGCACGTTGCCCAGGGTGGTTCTCGGTATCCCTGGGTCGTTTCAGAGGCCAAGTTCCAGGACATCTTGGGGTGGAAAAAGCGCGCGTCTTCAGGGCCCGATGGGGCCCCATGCGCCGCGTGGAAAGCTGCCGGCGGCATTGGCCAGGGCATTATATTCCGTTTGTGCGAGCGCTGGATGAGCACGGGCCAGTTGCCAGACGACTTCAACGCGTCTCGCGGTGCCATCTTGCCGAAGAAGTGCCCCGGCGGAGCCGGCCCCCAGGCCCGCGCGCCCGCCTGCGCGAGGCCGCTGGCATTCAGCAACACCGACAAAAAGGTGGTCACCAGATGCGTCGGTTTCGTTCTCAGCAAGGCAGTGGAGGACACTGCGGAGAAGCGCCGACTAGGGGTTCGTGAAATGCCGTCAGCTGTGAGACAACCTGTTCTCGATCGGTGTTGCGAGGTTGCGGGTGGTGATAATGGATATCAGTCCGAAGTTTGGCGCGGCCCTCTGCGACCAAAAGGCGGCGTTCCCCAGTGTCCTCCACGACTGTATCTGGGGAGCGCTCAAACGTTTAAACCTTGTTCG